TCAAAATTATTAAAGTCATAATTAAATAACATGACAATGTTATAACACTTTGTAAATTTACATTGTAAATCATGTTATTGATTTATACAAACTCAAATCTGCACATGCACGTACACATACCCTCGTGTACAGAGTTGAGCCTATCAGGTCTCGTAGTCTACTGGCAATTTCGGCATTTGTAATTTACAATAAATTACCTGCATGCTTCGAGAATCATCTACAACCCAGGTCTTGTCCGAATAGCTACCGAGGTTTGGACTCCTCAACATCAAGAGCTAAGTGTCATTTCAGCTTCAGCTACCAACGCGATCATTTTTAAAATCCATCCATGCTCGCATTCACCCTTAAATACATTATTTCCTATTTGCTTATCATTCACTATGTTAGGGTGGTAGAGTTTTCCATAAGCACTCTCACACATTCACTCTGTACATTCACGCAAATAAGTTTTGAATTATATATATATAAGATTAAGTTAGACAATTTGGACCTGAAGAAGTGTAATATGGCAAAATATTCATAGCATTTTGTGTGATACGACGAGACATCCAGGAAAAAATTATTAAGAAGCCTAAAACTTTTTCTACTCCAGGGCTTCGTCCGAGTTCGTACAAACCGTGCGGACGGAACAACTCGATAGTCCAGAATTTCAATTTCGTCCAAAATTAATTATCAAGTTAGCCTTAATAAGCACGTTTCACCCGGAGAGACGAGCCCTCTTCTAGATAGTGACTCCGTAAAGGCGTCAATTTTTCCCTAATAAAAATCAACTCTAATGCTAATCCTCTCAGGAAGCCTTCATTCTCAAACGGAGGGGAAATAATTTAATAAACCTGTAATTAATTTACTCTCGGGTAATTGCGATTCAACGGGAAGATATGCTGCAAAAACAACCATTCCAAGGCAACCTGATCCACCTTGAGCTATCAGATTTTCTAACTTTATAGGAAAATGACTTTTAAATTTATGAAATATCAAGTGATTATATAATAAAAATCAATAGGTAAAATAGAAAATAATAGAGGGTCAAATTTTTGATTTGAAACGATTTGATGCATTCCGAAGAGAAAAATTATCCTCTGATGAAGGAAGTTTGGGAAAAAGGGTTTTACTAACGTGTGTAAAAATGTGTGATGATTAGTGACCGTTAGTCCATAATTATTGAGAAATCGTGAGATGCGGTCTGGTGTGATGTAGGTTTCGGAAAAACATTTTCTTTATCGTGCCAACGTTTCGATCTTTATTGAGATCATCTTCAGGGCCTGTGATTTACAAACATTGTTTAAATTTAACAAATACATGTAGGATATAGAAAAACGTGAATTTATGCACTGCAGAAAAATATACTTTTTATATTCAATCAATGTATCTCACTGGCACTCTCAACACGACACGCAAGAATGGCACAATTACACAAAAGACAAACACTTTGAGTGAGAAGAAATACTTTCATTGAATATAAAAAATATATTTTGCATTGTATAAATTCACTTTCCCACATCCTAAATGTATTTGTTAAATGTACACAATGTTTGTAAATCCCCGGCCCTGAAGATGATCTCAATAAAGATCGAAACGTTGGCACGATAAAGAAAATGTTTTTCTGTAACCTACATCACACCAGACCGCATCTCACGATTTCTGAATAATTAGGTTTTACTAACTTTGAACACTTTTCGAGAATTAATTTAAATCATAATTATTTTAGACTGCGTGATTAATAATCTTGGCGGGTAATGGGATCAGCAATATACTTAACTCTGTCGTCCAAACGGCTTTTAATAAATAATTTTTTACAAAAATTTTACACAAATTGTTTCCTGTTTGAAATAGAAAAATAGATTAAACCCATTATTCTTTTGATTATTGGACTGAAAACGAAAAACCAAAAATATGATAGATTAGAGGAAGCCGAACCTGTTCAATTAACTAGAGACCACTGCTAATAATATAATTAGATTAAAATTTTATTGGGAAAGATGTGTCAACGATCTCTGGGACGTCTAGCCGCGCTTTTAATCGCGAATTGCGATATGGACGTGTCCTGACTCAAGGACAAGTGCAGGATAAAATCTAGTTGACGTTCGATTCGCCATTTCACGATTTATTTGTCCACCACATGGGAAGAGATTTGGAACGACGACTGGGTTAAAATTCTTTTTGTTAAAGATTAAATTTAACTTAGGATCTTTTCAGTGAGCCACAATCTAAATTTCTTACGTGAAATATCATTAACAATCGATATGGACTTAAGAATTGACATTTGTTGCCATAATAAAATGCAAAAAAAAATAGTCTTACTAGAACTCAGGGTTCAAAGGTGATATAAACTTATAAGTTACAAACCATAAAAATTATTTTTTAGGCAAGGTCTAAGAAAGGTGATTATTTTGTTGTTTTTACAGATGGTACACTCGTCCTCATGACCTAGACCTTCACCGAGATTAGCTAGGAGTTACTGCACTAATGCGAGGAACTAGGAAACGTTGAATACCAGCAACATGAGTGATAAAGGGGGCAAGGAGGTCCAGGCCATCGTCGTTTAAGGCGATGTGGAGGGTTCTCCAGATACATGACTTGGGGAGTAGGGTTCGATGGATCGAGAGCTTGGTGTGGTCTATTAAGCCGGATAGGATCAGCTCGTTGACATAGGGAATGTTGAGGTCCTTGTGGATAGTGATGTAGCACGAAGCTATTATAATTTATCTTACGACTTTTGCCTGGAAGGATGGGATGCGCTGGATGATGTCCAAAGTGATATAAATAATGTCGGTATACGGTTGCATATAATATTGTTAAGGACGATGACGGAAAATCCAACTACGCGACTCACCTCTCACAAAACCATCACGAACCCTCGACAATACAGACAAGAAACTGCTAAACGACGTACAAAAGGTACGAAAAATAATTGAAAGCTATACACAATTCGTATACATCATTTGCACTCAAAAAAAAAGAAACCAATTTTTAAAAAATGGAACGAAATCACAAAGATCGATCGGAACAATAAAAAAAATCCAGACTAATATACCAAAGGAACCGATAAATAAAATAAACCCGGCACAAGAACGCCACCCCTCACGACTTTATAAAAGAAAGTTGACTTCACAGAAATCAACCAGACCCGACACTGAAGATGACGAAATGCCGAAACACGTCTGATAAACCAACAAGCGTGGTTGGGCAAACCTGAATGATCGGTAAAGACCCAATTCAGGTCCATCACCCCCACATACAACATAGAAAAAATCTCAAAATGTGGTGAGGTAGTTTAGTTGCGACGGTCAAAAGAGATTTCGGTTCTAAAGGTCGCCTGGCGATTACATGTCAATAAGCTGGAGTCTGTAGTTTCATGTTGATGTGCAGTGAATAGGAAGCCAGTTGTGTATCCTGTTGTATGTACTTTGTGTAAGCTTTATTTTGGCGTTTTAGGCCATCTCTCAAAAGGAGTACATTTTTACTCATTCCGTTTTGTCCTCCTCCTTTTGCGCAAGGGAAGCTCAACATGCTCCTGGATGCTGGTCGTTGGTTGGAAAAGGGTTAGAACGCAAAATCATCAGCCTCGGTGGTAATGCTGGTGTCGAGATGTATAGGCAAGTCAGCAGTATAAATGGTAGATAGTATGGGACCAAGAATGCTCCCTTGTGGGACGCCGACTGGCATTACTCCTAATCACCTCATAATACAAAAACAGTCACTTAAAAAGTTTCTTGATCGTAATACCATTGTGAGTCAGTTTATTTGGACCAATTGTATAATTTATTTAAGTGTATTGTTTGTTTTTGCCTTTATAATAACTTTTTTATTTTTTTGATAATGACTTTCACCGTTTGGATTAATTTTTTTTACCGACACTATATCCAGCACTGCCCCAAGAGGACGCATGATAAAGTCAAATCGACTTTTTTTATTAATAATTTATTATATTTAAGGAAATGAAATATGAAATTATTGGGAAAATATGGTTTTGCAAACTCAAGTAGAAATAACAATAATCAACAACTTTTCTAACACATGTGTCTTAAAAATTAATGGATTTATATAACTTTGAATCGCCACTGGGTTGTTGATGTTACTCAAAAACGTTTCAGCTTTGTGCTTCCTCAGTGAAGAACTTCTTCACGGCTTGTAACTAGAATCATCCGCCATACATACCACTCACTGAAGTGGAGTGCTCAATATTGCTCCTCTTTATTAATCTAATCGAGGCCGATGAGGTACTCGAGATTCTACGACCGGCCCTCTCACAGATCGTGCTAATAAATCAAGTAATATATGTAACAAAACGGTCCTGTTTTCTACAACGATCGGTAAAGAGGGGCAAAATACTAGCGCTGAGTTTAAGTACAATTCTCATATCGGGCATATTCCTACTCGCTCCCTATATAGAGCCAGAGAATGACAACGTGTCAACGTGAGAACGTCCAACATTAAGCGGGACACGTCGACCTACGTATAAGCGGGCCTAAAACTCAGTGCCCATATTTCAACCTCGCATGACCTGTTCTTAATCGGGTGATGATCATCCCTCTTCTACCTTTCATAATCTTCGAGGGTCATCGATCGACGTACTATTGATAAGTGGGAGCTTTTTTGCCGACCCGACTCACTGACACTTTCATTTCGATTATATTCTTATTAAATTAGCGACAGAGAGTCAGACCGCTGTGGTCAGGTTCGGAGGTTTTAGACCGTAGAGATTGAAGACAAGATTGAAAATTCAGTTTTGAACTTTATTAACATAAGTTGTTAGGGGGCGTCGGTGGACGCAAGGTTTAGTCGTTGACACGGCGCTCATCACTGTAAGGTAAAGGTCCCGGGTTCGAATCCAGCGGCCCTGCATTCGAACCCGACATACTTGTTGTCATTTACTTATTAAATAATACGGTAAATTGGGAATGTGCAATGTTTAATAATCATCAGGACAAAAGGATTTTAGAAATCAACGGGAATGTAGGCTTAGGCTTAAAGGTAAAAACGTTTTTTAAGAATTCCTTTTTTATTGTTCATTTATCTTTTTCAATTAAATATATTTTTTTCATTTCTCTCTTTTTTAATACATAAATACGTAGGGAACGTTCAACACTAAACTTTTATTGGTTTTTTATTTTTTATTTTATTAATCAGCAATCTTAATTAAGTTTAACCACATAGAAAAACGAAACACTAACTGATATAATGTACAATTATTTTTCTTCCACATTTTTTTAAGTTTATTTATTCGTTTTTGAACAATCGTCAAAAGTGATTTTTATATTCATTTGGCACGGTTATCCTTTAAATAATTTCTCTTATTTAACGTTAATTATTTACAGGAACATAACTCAGAATGTACAAACATTTTTTTTTCATTTTTAAAATTCTTTTTTTTTTTTAAGCGTTCGCTTATCAACTCCGCCGGGATATATTCAGGTAATTTATAAACTTATGCAGTAACTATCACAATAAATAATACAAAAATTACACACTGCAATTTACAGTCTGGGTAAGCTATGTACAACATACACCTTGGAAAATACACATATATTACAGTAAAAAAAATATATATAACTTAATACATATAGATATACAAAACACGCGACGAGGCTTTTGGACGTCGGTAGTCCGACGTAAATTGATTTTAATTGTAAGAAACATCATATTTCAATTGTAAAAAATGATGAAAACAAAAATACGTCATTGTAACAGTAACTTAAAGCAAATGGCAAGGATAATTATCATATATTAATTATCAAAGACATTTCAATGAATTTTATATAAAAAAAATGATAATAGAAAATTATTTGTAATTTTGAAAAATATAATAATAGTGTATATCCAAATGCCTAATCGCATTGTTTTCGGTATTTATTCGTCTTTAAAAAGGGGCGACGAATTTATTTTTTCGACTAGTACATTTTTCTTGAGGATTCTTATATACAAAATTTACATCGTCCTTTTTCGGCGGAACGGGCTGTTTATTATTATTATGGTTTTAGTTGTTCGTACCGTATATCTACCCTTTTTCACGGGCCGTGCTTGGAATTCTCCGTTAGGTGTCGCGAATTCGGAAGAAGGTAGATTGATGACACGCTCCTTCCCATTGTGAGCCGAACACCTGTTCAACGGCAGTGACTTCGCGAACCAGTCTTGTTTTTTGTATTTTTTTGTATGAGTGTTTGGGTTTTCTTTCTGTATATTCTTCCGCCCTGAGGAACTTAGGCTTCGTCTCCGCTGCTCTCTTCGTGCCTGTGGATGTGGTACTGCTGCGGAGTGCCAGGCTGTGACGTCTCCTGTTTCCACTTGTTGACATGGTGGGAATTCTTGTTGCTGGCAGCTGCCTGCTGCTGCTGTGCCTTTGCCTCTTCCTCCTGCTGCATTCGTTTATGCTTTGTCCGCCTATTCTGGAACCAGACTTTAACCTAAAACAAAACAAAACAAACTTCGATTAATTCGAGTATTCTACAAAATCCTTCAAAATCTTAGATGTAATTGCTGCTTATTTATTAAATTCATAACTTATTTTGCAACCAAACAAACTAAAGGTATAAAATATAAATAACATCAGAAAAATTATTTTTTATAACGCATCTTTTCACATATTCTTTTAAATAATCATAACAAGCAAGGCAACGAAAAAGTTGACATGTTGGCCAAAAAGGGAGCCAACGTGGTCTCATTAGGTCCTGAAACCTACTGTGGCCTAGCATCTTGCCACAAAAGAGGATACATCTCAATATGGATTCGTAATAAGTCCAAAGTCTGGTGGAACAATACCACAGTCAAGAGGTACGCGAAGAGATTCATAGAAGGGCCATTCTCAAACTTACAAAGGAATTACTGGCAACCTAACAAGGATTCTGGTTGGACTCCTGACAGAGTAGATGTTCCCATCTTTACTCATGGGCGTTGAGACCCATTAGGATCTTTAACGTCCGGACTTATCCTCCAATGGGACTTCTCAGACCCCTAGTGTTCTCGAAAGAACACCAGGAAGATTTGACATGCATGGACTTGTCACATCCTTTGGCCAGAGCGGTGGTGCAATACTAGCCAAGTTCAGAAGTGCCCTAAAAAGGGCACATCCATACATGTGCCTTAAAAAAGGCAGTTTTGTGGTTTCCAGCACAGCCTTTTAGCCATGCCTTTCACCACCCCTGGAGAGATAGAGAAGGCACTCTATCTCCAGCTCCGGTTGGCCGGTACCCTCCAGCTAAGGTACAATTTGTTTACAAACCACGACCACCACGAGCAACCTCAATTAGTGGAGCCGCTTGGATACTCCACTCCCGTGGTTCAGTATTATTTTTAAGGTGGGACTGATCGCCCACCCGGGAGGTCAAACGAACTCCCTACTGATGCACCGTTGCCTGACGGATGCGGGTTCAGTAACCCAGGAATCTTCTGCCAAAGCAGAGGGTGAAGAGGGAGGGACCCTAACCATCCCTAACTATCCTGGCAGAGCACTGCCATCTAGGTAAGCACATGCACCGGATAGGAGTAGAGATAGAATCAACACTATGCAGATATTACCAGGAAGATGAGGAGACCGCAGTACATATTTTATGTATTTGTGAAGGTCTATGTAGGTGCAGATTCTTGCAACTGGGACAGGAAAACCCAGAAGCAAGACCCTACACTAAGGAGCTGCTGGCAAGGCTATGGAGGTTGATTAACAACCTGAAGCTGGCGAGCGAGTTATAAAATACAGAAGAGCACAATATATCTACTCAGGTCGAGGTCTGGAAGGCCTTGGGGCCGCCTCTTTTATCCCTATCCATATCCCTAGGGTGATGGAGGATTATCGAGTTCTCTACCACCCTCATCGTACCAGTTGTTAAATAAGACAACATTTGGAGGAACAAGAGATAATTTTCAAAATACCACTTCTGCACTTCGTGAAAAGACTGCTTAATTATACAATTATTCTTAAGTGAAAACGTCGGCGCAAATTGCGCAAGCTGATGAATTTATTATGAATTAGCTGCCAGGATATGTTATACATTTTTTTAGATTGACAAACTCGTGTTTCTCCTATTCGATCTCTATTTTAAACTGTTTACATCTTATTTTCGATTAAAAAAAAATTAAAATTCTAAATTTTAGGCTTTCAATATAGTGAGAAATGAATATTTTCCTTGTCTTGTTTGGCAAAAACATTTAAACCAGCTTCCCAACTTGGCATTGAATAAGACATGAGGAATATTTGAGATATTAATAAACTTTTGTTTACATAATTCAATGTAAGAATACAAAGAAAGAAGTAATATTATGTTTATTGTCGCATAGAAATTAGGTTTTACAATGATTAGCATACTACGTGATGTCATCTTAATATCTTGACAATATCTTGCATCATCACCAATTATATTTCTGAGATTAGCATGAGGAAAAAGTAGTTTTATCATTGGTTTATTGTAAATTTTCTAAATCGAGGACCCCGAGCGGGAATTACAGACGTTTACCCAAGCCATTCGCCATAATGAGCCGGAAACCCAACGCCATGAATACAAAACGTCGTTTTATTAGGCCCACTGGGATATATAGAGTTACACACCTTGGATTTAAAAAAAAGAGGAAAAAAACAAGAGAGAGAGGGAAAAAAAATAAGGTTAATCTCTAAAATCTGAGAAAACCGAAGCGGCTCACGTCTAAACGGGCCAGAAAATTGGCCGGTTTCTCACAGAGTCTTAACAGCCAGGAAAGGGCAATTTGGAAGGCAGTGCTAATAGCCGTGGGGGCCTCCTTTTCCTAACAATATGCATGTATTCAACAAGATGCATTCCCGACGGGGCATGAATAATGCATCGAAACCGATGCCTCCCTCCCCCGCCAGTGATGATGGCGTGCCAGACGGGGGTAACTTCGCAAGATTTTTCGATACCCGCAACTTCCGGCTATTAGCTACGAAACGTATCGATGTGGTGTAATGGATATTTTTTCCGACCAACAATTTTGCAAAGAGATCTCAATCTAAACAAGATATGATAATTTTTTAAATTAAATTTCACTTTCTCATATTTTCATTACGAGCAATAACTTTCAGTCCAGTAATAAAATATGTCCAAATAGGAAAGCCAAGGAGGAAAAAGGAAATTTAATAAAATAAAATATTACCCGAGTGGACAAATCCTCAACAAGGGATGCAAGAAAGAGGAGGAGTGAAAAAATCTGCACAATAATATAAAGGACAATGGTTAAAAAGTCAGAATAAATAGAAGCGACTGGTACAGTAAATAAGGAAATTAGCGAAATTATATAGTTCAATAAAATAATGAGTATAAAAATATTGATTATCGTCTCTATTTTTTCCCCCAGAGATGCAAGCAAATTATATTCCAATTCATGAGATTTCTGCCTTGCTTAGAAACAATACAGACAAAAGAGTTTTATAGACTTTTGCACAATAGTAGGAAGGAATTGAAAAAATTGTAAAATAATCCAATTATAAACACCATAACTTCTGTAAAAAAAATATGAATTCGAAGCTGAATTGGGAAGTGATAAATCTAAATTGGCAATTTTATGTTAATACAACTGTGTTTGTTTTCGGACGAAGATCTCATTTAATCCATGACAGTAACAACAGAGAAACTGTCCCAAAGCAGTTAATTATTAAGGCCAGTTCTTTCAGGCATACTGACGGCAGAGGAGCTGTAATCCAAGGTAAAAACTCCAAAGACTGAGCTTACTATAAACACTACGGTTTTAGTCTGAAATCATAGCAATTTCAATAGCAAACTGTGCATAGAGATAAAAAGGATAGGTTACCAAAGGAAGAAGGTGTCAGATTCCATAAGTAGAAAAGACACCCTACATATAAATACTATAACAAGGTAATGAGGAAAGGAAGCCAAAGAGATTATTGCCGAGAACTTCCAGAGATTTGTCTGCCACTTGAACCCCAAATTTGACAAGCATAGTACAACTGGAACCTATTAAAAGAATATTTCTTCCCAAATCTCACAAAGGTAGATGTCAACGATATTGATATATATCATATATTTCGATATATTTCTACATATATCGAGTGTTTTTATCGATATATTTTAGTATAAATAACTTAAAATATATCGACATATTCGTTGAGTTGTATCGATATATTCCTTTTCTATTTACGAAAAAAATTAATTTACAATAACCTGACTATAAACTTTTCTTATTCTTTTAGTTATTATTGGGTAAATAATCTTTAAAAATATCGCTGTCAGTGCATCAAATTTGAGTAAAGACTGTCGTTTAATTGTCCCTAAAACGTGGCACGTGGGAAAACCTAACTTATCATTCTGCTTTCTGCGTCGGCATCCGCATCAGTATATATGTATCTGCGCACAATTTTCATATACGTTTTTATGATGACACCTTCCCTGGGACAAATTCAAAAAAGTATTGTTTGGAAACATTTCAATGCACCAGAAAAAGGAAATCAAGTGGCAACTTTAAAACATGCTCGAAAGGCTAAAAACCATAATTTCTATAACGTTTATCTAGTTTATTTTATATCTTTTTTACTACTACTTAAAAAGGATTATAAAATTATTCATGACCACGAGTATAATTTTACCGTTTTAACCTAATATCGTTCTTTTATACCAGTTTGGCTAGGCATAGGATATCATAAAATAGTCGTAATGTACCTAAAATTAAATACACGGACAGGCAAACAATTCCACCCACTTGATTTTTTCATTTTCTCGATTAAAGAAAATTCTGTTCTAAATTTGTCTCATTGTTTTTATCAATAAATAATTATTTGTGTGATAACTTGAAATATCAATTAGAGGTAAACACGCTTAATCCTTAATCCAAAAAAGAATAAAGGATTTTTCTATGTTTAATTTTTACGGAATTTAAAATGTTTGTTCAGTATCATTTGAATTCTGAAGCGATCAACTACTTAGTTTTCATCTTTGTTTTCTTAATTTCAATTTTTAAACTTCAAAATGCCATTTAGTGCTGAGGATGTTTCGCGCGGTATGGCACTTACTGAAGACGGACGTTCCATCAGGTATGCGGCTAATGACGTTTTAGTTCCATACAAATCACTGCGAGACGCCGTTAGGGAATCTGGGTCCTACCATAGAATGGACTGGACGCCCTAGTGAAACAGAACCATAGGATGACCGTTTTTTGGCTTTGAGAATTTTGCCAAATCGGCACCTTACTATCGTTCAAGCGATTCATCAGCTCCAGGAACTTAGAGGTGTCCAAATTTCTGAAAGCACTGCTCGGAGAACATTAAGTCAGTATGGACTGATGGCTTTTCGCCCCATAAGAGGAACAAAATTCTCCGGAACACACAGAGTTTTGTGGAGAGTTGCACGGCTCCCATTTGCTCGAGAACACTTGGTTCTTTGGACGATTGGTATGCTGTACTTTTTACAGATGAGTGTAGATTTGCTCTACGGTCTCCAGATGGGCG